CATGTAGAAAGCACCTAGAGATGTCAGTCAAACGCTGTGAAAATGGATATGTGGGAAACTCACCCTCGGGAAGGTCGTCACCCTCACCAGTCAAGATAGCCTTGAATGAGCGGATGGTGTCCTTGAGGTCGACAAGCTTGCCCTCAATACCAGTGAAGACCTGGGCGACAGCGAAAGGCTGGCTCAAGAAACGCTGGATCTTACGGGCGCGCTCGACGGTAAGCTTGTCAGCTTCCGACAACTCGTCCATACCGAGAATGGCAATGATATCCTGGAGGGACTTGTACTCCTGGAGAATCTGCTGAACGCGGGTGGCGGTGTCGTAGTGGTCCTGACCGATGACACGGGGGTCCAACATACGGGACTTGGAGTCAAGAGGGTCGACGGCGGGGTAGATACCCAACTCGGAGATACCACGGGACAAGACAGTGGTGGCGTCCAAATGGGCGAAGGTGGTGGCGGGAGCAGGGTCAGTCAAATCGTCAGCGGGCACGTAGACGGCCTGGACGGAGGTAATGGATCCCTTGGTGGTGGTGGTAATACGCTCCTGCATGACACCCATGTCGATGGCGAGGGTGGGCTGGTAACCGACGGCAGAGGGGATACGACCGAGAAGAGCAGACACCTCGGAACCGGCTGGGAAAAGTCAGTGAATGTCCCACAAACATGCGTAACGAGCGGCGAAGACGAACCTTGTGTGAATCTGAAAATGTTGTCGATAAAGAGCAACACATCCTGACCCTCTTCATCACGGAAGTACTAATCCAATTTTTTAGCAGGCGTGAGTACATGTGGTTACTCAAGAACTTACCTCAGCAACGGTAAGACCAGTAAGGGCGACACGGGCACGGGCACCCGGGGGCTCGTTCATCTGACCGAAGACAAGGGCGACCTTGGAGTCACCGTCAAGCTGAATGACGGAAGTCTCCTGCATCTCGTGGTACAGATCGTTGCCCTCACGGGTACGCTCACCGACACCAGTGAAGACGGAGAAACCACCGTGGGCCTTGGCGATGTTGTTCTGCCCATCGTTAGCTGATGCTCAGCCTGCATGCATTCCGTGTCCTTACGATCAACTCCTGAATGAACACAGTCTTTCCGACACCGGCACCTCCGAAGAGACCAATCTTTCCACCACGAGCGTAAGGAGCCAACAGGTCGACAACCTTGATACCGGTGACGAGGACCTCAGCGGAGGTGGACTGCTCGGTGAACTCCGGGGGGTCGGCGTGGATGGGGGCGTACTTGGTGGCCTTGATGGGACCACGCTCGTCGATGGGGTCACCAGTGACGTTCATGATACGACCAAGGGTACCGTGACCAACGGGGATCTTGATGGGAGCACCGGTGTCGGTGGCCTTGGAACCTCGGACGAGACCCTCGGTACCGTCCATGGCAATGCAGCGGACGACGTTCTCACCCAAATGTTGCTGTGCTGAATCAGTGATGCTGTTCCCACTTCTTCAATTCTTGGCGTCCTTACAGCGACTTCGAGGATCAGCTTCTGGTCACCGTTCTGGGTTGTGACAGCGTTGAGAATAGCAGGGAGCTGCTCGGTGTCGAACTTGACCTGCAATTGGTTGTCAGCGGCTGTTGTGTGGATGCGATCGCTGATGGCGAAGTCAAAACTCCACCACTATCGACCAGAAAACTTTTCTTAAAGGAATTAGGCAAGACCGACATCGACGATAGCGCCAATAACCTGGTGAATCTTGCCATCCTTTGTAGCATCGGTGCTGGCGAAGCGTGTGGACATAGCTGGGGCGAAGCTCTTCTTCATGGGCGAAAATGCGCTGCGGCGGATGGCCGGCCTGCGCATGGAAGCGCGGAGCGCCTGCTGGATCCCACTGTCGAAAACGGCGTCAGTCCATCTCAATTCATCGTCAATTGAACTCATTGGGCGTTTGGCTTACCTCTTCAGCATTGTGAGATATGTGGTAGACGGATTGGTGAGTGGAGAGAGGGTGGGTTGATGAGGAAAGAGCTTCTCACAGCTCGAAAGGAAGGCGGCGTGCCAAAAGATCCGTGCGCGGCTAGTGCCCACGCGGTTAGCATCCGGCAACGAGACAACCCCAGGATCGATTTTCCCACAATCTCCAAAGCACGTTGCGATTCTATTCTTACACTTCGAGTGTGATCGCTCTTACCCTTCGAGCATCGCGACTTACCTTCACATGCATGCCTTCTTGGTCGATGCCACGACGCAAAACCGCCTTCCGATTCGCTCCGATTGAACAACCGTCTTCAGCAGCCGCCTCGGAATCAGACCCCACGAAGCGAAACGATGGTGCACGAAATCAAATCATGGTGTGCGCAAAAGACTCTGTCAACCCATCTATACAGTACATTACAACTCAGGCTGCGGTCTGAGGCCGACTTCCACGACTGTTCCGTGAACTAGGATCATAACGAGGACGCGTATCGGGATACATACTCGCAACAGTCGACTCACACAGCCTACCATAGTTCTCATCGTGATGATCCGTCGCCGAAGGGCGACTCACAATTCCTAAGATTTATACCACATACCATTAGGTCTTCCCGAATGAGATGTATCGCCGTTTCAACTATCGGGAAATCCGAACAACCGTCGCCAACTCAAGAACCCGCCCCAGAACGTCATGCTAACAAGGAGGATGAAGATTCCACAAGATGCTGTTTAGCCACCGAGCTACTTATCTCTTTGGATACGCTAATCCCTAGCATCATCTTCCCTCTCGGTCGCCAGTTCTGGAGATCAACAGCCATGATCTCAAATATGTATCCCTCGGATCGCACAGTACATCGATGAAGCGGTCATCGTACTACAGGGAGTAAGAGCTTGCTCGTACTCTCTGAAAAAGTACGAGGAGTTACCGCGACGTCATGGTTCTGACTGTGAGTACCTCCAGGCTCTATTGTCAGAAAGTGTAGTCCAGTCGAGACGCCAATGTATACTGCAACGCGTGAAAATGTACCAGTCATAATCACGTCCATATGCGGGTCTTCATAGCATCCAATATGACAACACCGGCGGAAAGAAGCTCGTGGTTGATTTGTAGACAGAAAAGCTGAACACTTCCCCTGTCCTGGAAACATACCCTGGGCGTCTACATCACATCCTGTATTATAACGTTGCGGCAATAACACACAACGTATACTTCAAAGTAGATTTTGCGTGTTGGGTAGGATTTCGAAATGCCAGTTCATGGATTGTAAGTGTTCTTCTCCTACACCTTATATTGTGATAGCGAGATTCATGCTCGTCTGCCGGTCGCACGGAAGGCTGCCTTCTTCAAGGTCAGCCCACGGATGCGCCGAAGCTAAAGTACCATGGGAAGACCAAGGGATTCCTACCGAATCTCGATGAGTGTACTTGGCGACATCGAACCACCGATGGCAGATGCACCGAGAAGAGCAGAGTTTGGATGGGCAAGGTGGAGGAGTATCTCTGCAACATGGACCAGGCCAGGTGGCGGGCCCGTATAGACATGGACGCACCGAACATCAGGCAACTGAGGTCACCGTCAATCGCAAGAGGAAGTCGGCAGCGATGGGTGAAGAGGACGACGGCGACGAAGAGTGAAGCGGGACGCCCTCTTTCATTGATGGTAAGTGGTTCCCCTTTGCACATGGCTAGATCCCCTGGTCGTGCTGGCGAGATGCCCTAATCGTGCTGGCGAGATGCCCTGATCGTGCTGGCGAGATGCCAACCCTTTGCGCATGGCGAGATGCCAGTTCCCTTCTTCTATTTCCCTCTCCTCCCATCTCCTCTTCATTCTTTTGCGCAAAGGGTTCGTTGCTTGTTCTACTCTGGTGGCCAAGCGAAGAACTTGGAGTGCGGTACGGGGCCGGTGAGGTGTTTGATAGTTGCGCGGTGTCAGTCGGGTGGTAGGGCAGCGCGGCGGCGACTATCGACCAGACTAGCCTACAATTAGATTGATGAGATGTATTGGGTTGTCCTCCAAGACTTCGCGAATCCGCAATAGTTACCGTATAACCCCCATATGTCCAAGTAGCACCCTTAGCAGCCGTTGCCCTGGCGGTATCTGGATCCACATCGCCCATATTTGGCGATGAAAGGAAAGATACGGGAGATGACTTAGAAGAAGCCTATATATACCACGCACCGCACGATAGCAATCAGACACAGTAAAAATCATAGAGTGTTCATCTGGTTTTACTAAGTCTTGATTAGATAGTACAAGGCTTGACACTGATCGGGATTAATAGGCCATCTCTGAGTTACTTTCATTTTCACCTTCACCTACAGTAACACAACGAAGTTGGGACGACCACAACAACTATCAACAAAAAAGAGAATATTGCATGGCAAAAAATTTAGTCCCAAGCTGTACTCGACCCACGAGCAAAAATATAACAATACTTCGATGAGATACCCGACATTTTCATGACGTACAAACGCTAATCACCCAAGTAGAGCTCGCAGGTCTTTGCTATATGAGAATTAGCTGAATTAATTACAATATATAGAGCAGTCAAATTGAGTTCTATACAGATCTGAATTCGCGCTGTTGTGTTGTGGTGGAGCGCGTGGTGAGAGCAAACGCGCAAACGCTCGTTGCCATGACGCCGCGATGAGAGCGCGCGCACACTATCAGACTGCAACAACACCATATTGCTTGTAACTAGTTGAGGAATACAACCTCGCCTTTTGATACAACCTACGCGACCAAAACCATGCCTGGAGGTATCCGACGTTTTCTCTAGTGTTACACTCACTTCACGCAAGATCACGTATACAACTGCGTGAGACACGGAGCGCAGCGTAAAGACAACAAGTGTCTTCGTAGTCAGCAAGCTGGGAGATGAATCACAGCTTGAAGACTACAAATCATGTTGTATTAGGCACTTGACGAGATGAGACGTCGCATTCATACGTGCGTTAATCTACCTTTTTCCATCTTGGGATCCTACGGCTCAACAACACTGCTTGTAAACAACAGGTCTCTTCTTACGCGGCATTTTGGTGAGATGTGAGATTGTATTTATACATATGTTCATCGACCCTTCTCCAACTTAGGCTTCTTCGGCCCAACAAAATTACAGAGTGCACCACCATTAACAGCAATGACCTTCCATCCCGCCGGAACGACACCAAATTCCTCACTCTCTTCCTCCGTCGCACTCAATTTCCAGATCTTTCCTGTCTGTCTATCGAACCACTCCCTCCCTTCTGGAGTCTTTACCAACTCACCCAGCACAAACTTGGTTACAGCTTGAATATCTTTGGGGTTGACCGAATCGGGGAGTTTTTGTATATCCACGTCGAACTTGCGTTTGCCGTCGATTTGGACAACACATTTGCGCGTTGTGGTGAGGAGCGGTATGATGGCGAGGTCTGCGGTCGGGAAGCCTGTCGCAAAGACTGTTGAGACGCCGCTGTCATTTGTCTGTGCCGTGGTGCAAGTGTTCAGTTGGTGCCAGGCTTCCTCAGCGACACCAGGAGCAATTGGGGCGAGCATGCGAACGAGGTGGGCCATGGAGTACCATTTGAGGATTGGTGTGACCGGAGACGCATGCGGCGCGTCCCAAATAGTGTTTGTCAGTGTCATTAGATCGCTGACGATGGTGTTAAGGGAGTATGTTTGCGAGTACGATTCTGTGACACTGGCGATGATTTCTTGTGTCTTGATCCAAAGCTGAGCCTCATCTGATTTAAGGGTGGACACCAAGGTTTCGCGTGTGGCGCTCTCAGATTCGCCGCTGGTCGAAGCATCTTGTAGGATACTGAGGAGCTTCCTGTCAACCTGTGTGGGTATAACGAACTTGTCTATCACATCATCCGGTATCCATGGTGCGGTTGACAGCTTGATGACTCGATGTGACCATCGTTGTACGCCAGTGATCTTTTTCTCGTCCCACTCAAGCACATCACTGACAGGTGCTTGGAACAGCATGTGCGCGCGCGTGGCGTCTGCGCCATACTTGGCAATCGTGGCACCTGGATCCACTCCATTGTACTTGCTCTTCGACATCTTCTCGAAACTAACGTTCGGAGTGACTCCACTGGCCTTAATGATAGGCTTGGAAGGACTGGTCAAGTCGACTTCATCGGGGCGTAGGAAGCGACCATTTTCGGGGTCTGTAAACGTCTCTCCATGAACCATACCTTGCGTGATGAGACGCGTGAAAGGCTCGCCATTCGCCAGGTAGCCCTTTGGCCATGTTGGAGTAGTTGCCAGAAACTTGGAGATGAAGCGCGCGTATAAAAGATGAAGAATTGCGTGTTCTACGCCGCCGACATATAGGTCCACTGGCATGCCGGTATTGGTCTTTGTCGGGTCGACCAAGGCGTACTCGTTCTTCGGATCTAGGAACCTGAAGAAATACCATGACGAGTCCATGAAGGTATCCATAGTATCAGTCTCGCGCTCAGCAGCCGAGCCGCACTTCGGACAAGAGGCCTTTTTCCAGTTTTCATCTTCCGCTAACGGGTTACCTTTGCGGCCCTCGAAGAAGCTGTCAGGTAGGTTCGGTAGCTCGACCGGAAGGTCTTTCTCAGGCACAGGAACAGCACCACAAGATTTGCAGTGAATAATTGGAATAGGCGCACCCCAGTAGCGCTGCCGACTTATCAACCAATCACGGAGTCGCCAGTTTGCTTTCTTCTCAGCCGGCTTTCCAGTTTCGAGAATCGCTTGTACGACCGCATTCGCGGCTTGCTTCGAGGCCATGCCCCCGAAACAATCTATGTCTGCAGCAACGAAGCCTTTTTCGGTCATAGGTACGTCGTCACCACTGCGCGGTACAAGCGGCAAAGGTAGTGAGCCTTTCTTAGCAGATACGACGACTCTGACTGGCTCATCACCAACGTTCTTTCGCCAGAACGCATGGTCTCGGGCGTCGTGACCTGGTACACCCATTACAGCGCCAGATCCATAGTCGTCCAAAACGTATGGAGCCACATATACAGGTACAGAGGGTCCTGTGGAGCCTTGAACATGGGCGAGGGGATTGCGCGCTACAATCTTCCCCAGCTTGAACCCCTCCTTGGTGTCCGAGGGAAGGTCCTTTGCTCGCTCCATGAAGGCGCGGAGCTCTGCATCCTCGATGGCTAACTGTTGGACAATTGGGTGACGCAAAGAAAGAGCGATATACTGTACTCCAAAAAGCGTGTCAGCCCTGGTAGTAAAGACATCGACAGGCTCAAAGCGCATTTCACTATCGGTCGAGACAATGTCGAACCAAAGTTGCGCGCCTTCAGACTTGCCGATCCAGTTCCTCTGCATGGCAAGAACCTTCTCAGGCCACCTGCCGTCTCGTGCAAGAGCGTCCAGGTCCTTTAGCAAGGGTTCCTGGAACTCCTTGATCTTTAGAAACCATTGCTTCAGCATCACCTTCTCGACCTTTGCACCGGACCGCCACGAGCAGCCATTGGCATCTACTTGTTCGTTTGCGAGGACGGTTTTATCGACGGGATCGTAGTTCACGAGGGATTTGGCTTGGTAGGCTAGGCCGCGCTCATGGAGCATGAGGAAGATGCGCTGGGTGTGCTTGTAGAAATGGGGATCGCACGTTCGTATTTCCTACATACAGAGATCAGCCCATGCCTAAACATCCTGAGCGGTTTCCATACAGCGTCCCAGTCCCAGCGACCACCCATTTCCTTCATCTGACTCTTCATAGTCTCGATATTCTGTAGCGTCCACTTCTCCGGGTGTACCCCTCGCTCGATGGCTGCGTTCTCAGCCGGTAGACCGAACGCATCCCAGCCTATGGGATGTAGGACCTTGTAGCCCTGCATGTGCTTGTATCTGGAGAGAACATCGGATATCGTGTATACCCGCAGGTGGCCTAGATGGAGGGTGCCGGAGGGGTATGGGAACATGGGCAGCACATATGCATCTCCCCTATCGGACTTTCGTAGGTCGTGCCATTGGGCAGATAGCTGGTCCCAATGTGGTTGCCATTTGGCAGTGAGCGATTCGACCTTGATTCCCTCAGCTCTTGACTTTCTCTCCAGCGTACTCGCCCATCGTAGTGCTACGCGCGGTCGGGAGACTGGGAGGCGTGGAGGGCGCCGCCAGCCTACGGACTGCAGACTGAGACGACGCATCACCTGGGCGTATGCGCATGGCGTGGACGTGTCGCATTCATGGTCTGGAGGATGCGCGGATCTGCGCCAAGCATCCAGTCCTGAACGACTCCCACATTTTTTGGATGCAGCTCTAGCGCTCAAACGGGAGCTAGTCCCATGACGGCATAGGAGCCCGTCGGTTTCAACAGCGCATGCAAGCTGCACCACTCATACACGGCAGCGGTGAATGCTTGAAAGGGGTGCTGGATACTGCCCCTACACATACCTCGCGCTTTATATTATAATTACCGTCCATGGCTAGCAGATAGGGTTGCGCGCATCTCTCCCACATCCCCTCCGCATCATGGCCGCCGGTCGCTACTCCAACCTCCCACCGCCGACTCGCGATTCCCTCGAACTCGCCTCGCTGGCGTCCTCGTCGCATCCTTCCCGGCGGACTTCCGAAGAGTCTTCGGCCTCAGGCGCGCCTTCCTCACGTAGACTGTCGTTCGATGATGAAGACCCTCTGTCAGAACTGAATCCGGCTGGTCACGATCCGAACAGACCACGGCACAATCGCTCCTACAGCGTGTCCTCCGCCTTCGATTTCGCACCGAACCTATTCCCTCTCTCTAGCACCGCGCAGGGATATACAGCACTGGGCGCGCCTTCCAATCCAGCATTAGACCCGTCGAATGCGCTTAACGGCGGCTCATTGGAGAAGAACAAGAGCCTGACATACCTCAATGGCCTGTCATTAGTCGTTGGGCTTATAATAGGGAGTGGCATCTTCTCTTCGCCATCTCAGGTCAACAAAAATGCTGGGTCGCCAGGCGCGTCTCTCATAGTCTGGATCGTCGCTGGAATACTGGCATGGACGGGTGCCGCGAGTTACGCCGAGCTCGGAGGCGCCATACCACTTAATGGCGGTGCCCAAGTCTATCTGTCTAAAATATTTGGAGAGTGGGCGGGATTCCTGTTCACATGGTGCGCAGTCGTGGTGCTGAAACCCGGCTCGGCAGCCATTATTGCCATAATATTTGGAGAATATCTGGTGCGAGCTATTATTGGCGCCGAAGCTGTCGACGCAAGCACATGGTTGAACAAGGGCGTGGCTTTGGTGGGACTTGTGGCTGTCACGCTACTCAACTGTGTGTCCACGAAGCTGGGCACACGGAGCGCCGACGTCTTCATGTTCCTGAAGTTCTTCGCACTTACGGGAGTCACGGTCATCGGTATTGTAGTTGCGGTGACCGGGCTCTCATACAAGGGCGATGCGAATGAGGACTGGAAGAATCGCGGCTGGTTCGATGACACGAGCGAAAACGTTAGCAACTGGGCAGTGGCACTCTACGCCGGGCTCTGGGCCTTCGACGGTTGGGACAATGTACGTCAAGCGATTCGAAACTCTGCCCACTCCTACTAACGACACCAGGTAAATTACGTCACCGCCGAGTTCAAAAACCCAACCCGCGACCTTCCCCGCGTCATCCACACTTCGCTCCCGCTCGTCATACTGTGCTACATCTTAGCCAACATATCCTACTTCCTCGTCCTCCCGACCTCGGTCATCGAATCATCCAATACCGTCGCCGTAGCCTTCGGGTCGCAGGTCTTCGGTCCTGTTGGCTCCCTCATACTCGCCCTGTTCGTCTCTGGGTCATGTTTCGGCGCACTCAACGCGACGACCTTCACATCCGGCCGCCTAGTGTACGCCGCCGGTAAAGAGGGCTATCTCCCCGCCCTATTTGGAAATATCGGTCTAGGAAAGAACCACCGAGCAATCCGCTTGCACAGCATGAACGCAACGCAAGGGAAGAGCAAGATACCAAAGAAGCTAGTAGCCTGGTTCGCGGATGCCGACGCAGGCTTCTTCTTCACGCCCATATCCGCCATGGTGCTCAACGCCCTCCTCACCGCAATCTACATCGTCGTCGGCTCTTTCGACACCCTCGTCACCTTCTACGGTGTAGCAGGATACGCCTTCTATTTCCAAACCGTACTCGGCCTAATCATCCTACGCGTCCGCGAACCCGATCTAGAACGTCCATACAAGACTTGGATTACTACACCCATCATTTTCTGCTGCGTCAGTCTCTTCTTGCTGAGTAGAGCCGTATTCGCAGAGCCATTACAGACTTTACTCGTTGTAGCCTTCATGGTAGTAGGCCTAGTGATTTGGTTCGCGTGGGTGGGGAGACGAAGGGGGAAGGAGCAGAACAAGTTCCGTATGCCAGAAGAAGGCAACGAGAAGGTGGGCTGGAAGTTCTGGCAACGCTGGAGGCGATGAAGGGGAAGAAATATTGCCATTCTGTTGTATACTAAGCGTCATGGTTGTATAAGATTACGTAGAAATGAAGAAATGATATCAACGTGTACGTGTTCTGTTCTGCCGTCGTCGTCATCTGCGTCTTGTCTTCCTCAGGCCTCCAGATATCTCGTTACGAGGTACGATGAGATGTCGGCTGCGACTGGCCCGGTCCGCAATGGTAGACTGGCAAGTCAAGACCCTAGCATCGTTCGTCTCAAGTCTAGTATTCCAAATCATATCCTGGTTCGCTCGAGGCCAGCTAAGCCGGAACCCGGCTGGAAACTTCAAGCGTAGATCTGTCGTCTTCCATTCGCCTCCTGTTTCGAGCGGAAGGCATAATGGTGTGACTGGCACGTGGTCGGAAAGAGTGGCCGTGAACAGGTTACCCCAGAGATGCTTACCGTAGACTCACGAAGATACTGGCGGGATACATCGGACGTATCATTCACGTGACAAGTCGGGGCCGACAACTCGGGTGAAAGTGAGTTCTGCAACGAAGCACAAGTCACTATGATGTATGATAGCAAGGCAATATGGAGAAGGTTTTTATTTGTTTATATTTCTGCTCCTTTCAATCTGATCAAAGAGACTAACAGAGAATCGGGCTATACTACTCAAAGGCTCAACACCTTCTATCTCCTCGGGTTATTAACAAGAGCTCATGGAAGAGGCAATGGGGGTGCTAAGCGAGACGTGAAGAAAGATAACAGTGGGAAGACAAGGGGGGAAGAGAGACGAAGAGGAAGAGGAAGAGATGGAAAAGGTGATGGTGTGGGGTATAAAGAGCGGACGTGCCGTGCTCATTTCCGTAGCAGGGTGCGCAGCACCTGTGGTTCGTGAATGAATGTTCGTATCGTAAGCGACGTGACGGATGGAAGGTCGAGAGTCAAGACCTTGCCTGACCTGACCGAAAAGGGTCTGAAGTTCCCATGAACCTTCATGCGACAAAGGGCAAGCTGGGGTTGGGGCTAGAACCCTGACCAATGTGCCGAGACGCTGTGTCGCAGGAGGTGTTGTGCAAAACATGAAACCGAAACCGTAACGCCTGTGTGGGTATGTTGCCCAGACGCGAACCACCCAGAGTCGCGAGAGCAAAGGAAACAAGAAATTTAGAAACTCGCGTCTTCCCAGTTAATCGTACAGGCGGCTCGTTGCCGATTCCGGTCTAGCAGTAAGAAAGGAAATAGGGTTGGGAAAGGTACCCTCGCGCGTTTCGTGTAGCCTCAGGCTCCGCTTAGATCCAGCCGTTGCGTGGCGTCCGTTGCATCGTGCCCGCGCCAAGTGGAATACGGGCTGTAGGTGACGGAGCGGCATGGCCACTGTTCGTTCGCGTGAGGTTGTTGACTGACGCAGGTGTGCCTGGCTGCGATGATGTTGTAGGTGAACCAACTGCTGTAACGGGTGTCACAGGGTTCATGCGCAGTCCGCTGATGCAGGCAGGTTCGGGGACAGCAGGCTTTGCCGGAGTAGCAGAGGGTTGAGGGGAGGCTGGCGACTTCGGGGGTGGGGAGGGTAGCACCTTCTCGCGTTGGGCCTGGAGGTAAGCGCTGGATTGACCTGCCGGTGTGATGGGGAAAGGTGGAGTCCGCGCTGGGCTGTTCGCTCTGGGTCGTGTTGGCGACTCACCACGCGGGGGAGGAGGGGAGAATACGCTAGAGCTAAGCATCTCCTGCGATGGCGATGTGCTGGTCGTAGAAGGCTTCTGAATCGGAAGAGCCAACGAAGCTTCACTGCTGTCGGTAGCACCTCGCTTCAACGGAGGGGTCTCTCGTTCAACCCGTGTGCACTTGGCTGCTGCAAGCGTGGCAGGCGCAACTGAGAAGCGGAGACCAATTTGGACGGTTGCACTGCTATCGGTACTTTGCATGCGTTGGTGCCGTTCTGCAAACGGTAGTTTGGGCTTGCTCAGAAAATCCCAAGCGTCGCCGACATTCGTGACCGAGCCGCGTCGAGTAAATCGTCGCAGGGCAAGCTTGGAAACAGAGGAACCGTCTGACGTAGCCTTGGGGTCGTAAACGGTTGGTGGAAGACGAGGTACCTCTTCAGCGCGTGTGGGAAACAAGGAATAGCTTTGGCTTCGTGTGCGCTCGTGTTTCGTAGTTTCGTTGTCGAGAGCAGGTGGAAGAGGCCACTTTGTGGGATCGATAGGGCTTCCAGGTTTGGTCGATGCCGGTGTCAAAGCCCGCTCTGGTCGTTCAAAGTACTGGGGATCAAAGTCACCACGGTTCTTTTCTGGCCCAACATCGATCAGACCCTGTTGACTGTGTAAACGTTGAGTTGTCTGCAATGCCATCGGGCCACTGATCTGCATCTCCAAATCGCTAGGGCCGAAGAAACGGATCTTTGGTCGTTGTTGTTTCGCGGGCGCCTTGAGTTCTTCGATGGGACGAATGACCATTCGTGTCGCGTTCGTGCGGAGGAAGAGGTGGAAGAACGTGATGACCATTCCCGACGAGAACAGCGAGATTTCAGCGACTCGAGAAGCGGCTAATGCTTCCATGAATTCTCGGCGAAGAGACTGTACTTCCACAGGGATGACGAGAGTCTATGACTGTTAGCTAGGGAGGCTAGAGAGGTAGTGCAGATACTCACGTAGATTAGTGCGGTAACGATCAAGAAGTAAGTCATACGTGAAGCTGAGATTCGCTCATTGTGGTCCAGGTCCGGCGTTCTCATCAGCTGAATACTGATCATAGCGGCTACCATGAGCAGCAGAAAAACAAGAATTGAAAGAAAGATCAGCATCAGAAGATCGTACCGCATGGGGAACCAGATAAGCCCGCCAAAGCAAGTGTTCGGAGACGGCCAGGCAACAGTCGGCATCCAGGAGAGAAGCAGCATGAACGATACAACGGCGATACAGATTATCGTGTTCCACTTGCCGCGTGGGGCGAATCGGTCTTGTTTGTAGGCCCTGACTGCTACCTCGATACCGAAGACCAAGGTAATGAATCCGATCAGAAAGATAGCTGCTGTTCGTTAGTCTAATTATTCGCAAATGCAGTGTATGCGAGCGTACCAGGAAATGTGACCATCGCAAGTCCGCGGCAACTTCTAGAGAACACGCTATGAAGTGTAGTGCCCTGCACTGATACGAAGATGATTTGTTGTAGAACTGCACCGCAGGCCAACGCAAGGGGAAAGGTTTCGGCAGGGTGGACATTGTGAAGAGCATTGAATCTCCTAGTTCTCGTTAGCAATGTCGCAAACTCCGATCATGCTATACTGACTTCTTTCTTGGGAGAACCTGAAGAGCTGCAGCTCGTCGCGCATCCGACACGATCCGATGAACCGTCAACAAGGTCAAGGCAAGGCTGAAAGCTCCAAGGGTAAGATGTGTCGTCCGAAGCGTTTGTACCTGTTGAAGCTGTAGACTCGCGATGAGAGTCCTCGTCGTGTTTGATTGCGTCCAGGGAACTTGGCGAACAGCTGACGTGTTGAGAGTTAAGTTGAAGTGCGATCGGACCTCGAGCTGAGGGAAATGGTCGGCCCATGATTCCATCTCGCCGGCTTTAGTTACAACGGGTGTAGAAGGAATAGAATTGTCTCGCTGGTAACCAGCAGCGGCTGAAGAAAGGAAAACGACTAGGTATTCATGGAGACCGTGTGACTGACGTCGTAAACGAAAGAGTAACCAGCTCAGCGTCAAAGAAGGAAATGGCTAAGCCTGCCAGCAGAGCAACGAAAGAAGGGGAAAGAGCGTGAGCATTAGACGTAAGAGACAAGAGACGGGTATGAGACTCCAAACGGTATATGACAAAACCACTGGGCGGTAGCTGCTGCGCACGGTTTCGGAACAGCGGTCCTCAGGCGTCTATCCGGTCATTGGCTGAAAAGACCCGCATTAGCAAAGATCCAGCCAGTTCATATTACAGGTCGCATCTTCCCGCAATGGGTGGGAGTGGGTTTCAACCTCATGCGAGCCACCCGCATTCTGCCAGGTAGCCCGGCCAGCGGAAGCAGCGAAACCCGCGCAGGCACCGTTGCGCCGAACAGCAGCCACCTGCCTTGGAAAGCCTCTTGTCGCTCTCGTAGCTGCTGTCATATAGACCGGGTTGGACAGGTTCAGCACGACGTCATTGCTTGACGTTGCCGTAGCGGCCGTCTCCACATGGTCCGCCGGTGAACGTGCCTTCGTTCTCAAGACCGCAGACCCATTTTCGTCAAGTCGTTCGGCCTGCTGAAGCGCGCAATCTCATCTGACGCTGAGCACTATACTTGGGTTCCTGGATAGCTATTTCCAGCGCGGAAGCGCTGATGTAGACAGTGGCGCATCGTCGGTGGTGGTGAGGTGGATGTGGTCGGACTAGAGTTCTGATGCTTGCTGGGTTTAGACTGTGCCGCAGATCCTCGCTTCGACCCTGTCCGAGACACAGCGAACTCCAGAACCCCTGCCGGGTCAACGTTCGCCGGGGAAGCCTCGCAAGCCCACGACACGTCCGTAGCAAAGATGGTTAGCTGGAAGGTATAAGCAATATATTATAGAAAACGGAGGGTGATGTGTAAAGCCACGAGGCATTGCTGCATTAGGCCTAGTGCGCAGGTCGGTTTACGCAGGCGACGTATAGGAACGGTTCGCGGGCGTGAGATTGAAGGATGCAAGACCCATCAGCATGCAAGACGGAAGGAACCGATTGAGAAGCCCAGATGGAAGATCGTGTGTAATCGCAGCCCAGCGCACCTGGGCCTCCACAGAACTGACTTTCAAACCACTGGTACCGCCGAGTGGTAGAGAGTTGTGCTGCAGAAAAGCAACATACTCGAGACGTAAGTCCAGCGCCGAGAGCGCAACTCCATAGGATGATCAGTATTCACATCATCACACTCCCTGGTAGCCGCCGACAAGTCTAATCAAGGCGCCTACACAACGGGACAGTCACGTCTACACCCAAACACTTCAGACGTCTCGTCACAACCGCCGTGGTCTGAAGTTTGATCTGGCAAGCCACCAAGACCAAGATAGCTCAGAGAGGGCTTTGCAAATCTTACTACAACAGGCAGTGCACGAAGTTCGTCAATGCATCGTGGTGGTCATACTAGGAATGGGAACTTTCCAGAACACGAAGGCACAGCCTCTACATAGTCACAGCCACAGCACGAGGCACAAGGGTGTGCTTCATAGTATTCTCCGATAATGCAAATCATGAACCGGGTGGATACAAGCAGTTTAGCTGGGTCTTGTGATAAGGATCAGGCCTGATAAGACTAGAAGTTGTAGACTGGGACTTGATTTTGCTGTTCACAGGTGTCTTGTTGAATGACACGATTGTGACAGGAGGGTATTATTTTTTGGAGGGCATTGAACAGGCCTGCAGCCTGCAGCCTACAATAAGCCAGAAATAAGCAAACAAGAAAATGTAGCGTTGATGAAGACTCCACGGTGTTCAACTTTTCCCTTGAATGGGACTGATACACAATGCTGCGCAAGGCCTGACTCAAGCCGACTTTGCAAACTCTTCAAGGTACGAGACGAGTAGCTTGGTGCCATCTAGCGAGACGGCATTGTCTAGAGCACGAAAGAAGTTAGCCTGAGTCACTGATGGGGATTTTCCCCAGGCCGTATCCTAGATCGAGTACACTCGGCCAGGTCGGCCAGAAGCCGCGTACCCAAGCATGCCTTGTGAAGGCACGACTCGAACCATGTCTGACAGCGGGATCAATAAGACGGGAGTTATAGGGCCACTTACAATTACTGGCACGGATGCCACCTACGCTGCGGTGTCCTTTCAGACCCAGCAGGCCCTTCTTCTCCGCGCCTGCAAGGAAGGCCTTCTCTTTGTCCGCATCACCACCGTTGACGCGGAAGCAGATATTCATTCTACTGCGTACAGACTTGTCTGGCACTACCTGGTAGACGTTGGAGTACTTCTCGAGCATATCGTAGATAAGCCGCGCCTTCTCGTTGGAGACATCCTCTTGACCACCAATGCGCTTGGCACCATAGGAGCTGACGAGTCCGGACATGACCTGGCCAGCCACCCAGACATCGAAGATGGGCAATGTGTTGTACAGCGAGTTGTTTTTCGCGATGGTGGGGTAGTCGAGCACAATGGGGCCAACTGATAGGTTGAGCTCTCTCATCAGGTCGGGCGAGGCGGGTGTTGAGTGTGGCGGAAGGAGCGACTTCCGCATGATGACGATTGCGATACCCGTGTTGCCAATGTTCTTCTGGGCGCCGCCAAAGATGATGGCGTACTTGCGCACATCAACCTTCCGGGAAATGAAGTTTGACGACATGTCGGCGCAGACCAGGGGTGCGTCGTCGCCCTCAAGGCTCTGAGGGAAAGACGGGAACTCGACTCCGTCGACGGTCTCATTGTCGCAAAAGTACACGAAGGCTGGCCCGCCCTTGGAACGCGGAGTCAGGCTCCACTGGTCTTCCGAAGCGATCTTGCCAAATTTGCCGTCATTGATCTTGCGCGAGTCGGTGGCCACGTTGACGTGCTTGGCTCCTACAAGACGCGCTGCCTCTTGCGATGCCTTGAGCGACCAAGAGCCGGTGACGAGGTAGTCGAGTTTGAGCTCCTCGTCGACGACCTTGCGCAGCCTCTTCACCACCTCATCCTTGTTGTCGCCCACCTCTTCCGCAATCTTGGCGCGCTTCTTCTCGACCCATATCGAGACGAGGTTGTATACGGTCGCACTGAACTCGCCGCTGCCGCCGCTCTGGAGGAAGAGGATCTCGTAGTCGTCCGGGATCTCGAGCAAGTCGCTCAGGGCCTTCTTGGTGTCGGCAAGGATCTCGTTGGCTTCTGGCGAGCGATGGGAGATTTCGCAGAGGCCAATGCCCTTGTCTTTGTAGTTCAGAAGCACCTGCGAGGCCTTCTCGAGGACCTCGGTGGGCAGGGGTGCGGGGCCAGCGCCGAAGTAGTTGACGTCGGAACGGTTGACCATGGTGACGACAGGCTTGAGGATTAGTAGGAGATGTGCAGAGTTAGTCGGAGATACTTGGGAGAAATTGATCAAAGAGGGGCGGTTTGTCTGGTGCAAGTCTTCTCACGTCGCGTCATACGGATGACTCCAATGCCAACCTCTTACCAAAAGTTGCTTCCGATCTCGGGCTAGCATGCAACACGCAGGCGTGGACATCCATGGATGGTGGCTCCCTCATGCAGAGTACTCAAATATAGCTTGCCCCGGATCCTACACGTCCCCGCGTGGGAGTTGTTAGCATTATGCGAAGTCATTGCAGGTGTCCGGCTGCGCCCAATGGCAGGCGCCGCAAGTCCGCTGACGCCGGTTTCGGTGCGCGGGTGGGTCGCGAATTTTGGTCTGGGTATGCGCATCACTGCCGTCTGCTGCAAACACCACATTGCTGCCAGCTCAAGCACCACCACAGCAATGGCCATGTCGCTACGGGCAGCCCGGCTCCTGGGTCGCAGACAACTAGCAGTATGTCGGGAATGTCATCGCCGGCCATGTATCCTCTAATGTCAAATGCAGCCCCGGGCAAGTCTTGCTCTTCGTGCCGCCTCGCTTTCGCCTCGACCGTGTCTCGCACCCCGAACCTTTGCCACGACCGCCGTCCGTCGCGATGCCCATGATGTCTTTCCCTCGATGAAGGAGAGCCCGGCGGCGAGCTTCCTCTCTTCGCTCAATGAGACGCCCGCAACACCCCAGACTCTCACCGAGAAGATTGTGCAGCGGCATGCCGTCGGCGTTGCGCAGGGCAAAGTCCTCAGGTCGGGCGACTACGTGACATTGCAACCTCACAAATGCATGACACACGACAACTCGTGGCCTGTGGCGCTCAAGTTCATGGGCATCGGAGCCACCAAGATCAACGACCCCAACCAAATCGTCATGACGCTCGACCACGACGTACAAAACAAGACGGAAAAGAACTTGAAGAAGTACAGCCAGATCGAGGAATTTGCACAGAAGCAGGACGTCGTCTTCTACCCCGCTGGCAGGGGCATTGGTCACCAAATCATGGTAGAGGAGGGCTACGCCTGGCCGGGAACACTCGCGGTAGCTTCTGACAGCCACTCCAACATGTACGGCGGTATTGGATGCTTGGGTACACCTGTCGTGCGCACAGATGCGGCGAGTATCTGGGCAACGGGCAAGACCTGGTGGCAGATTCCGCCCGTGGCCAAAGTCACACTGAATGGCAAAATGCCCCAGGGTGTGACTGGAAAGGATGTCATCGTTGCTCTGGCTGGCCTCTTCAACAAGGACGAAGTGCTCAATCACGCCATCGAGTTCACCGGCACTGACGAGACCCTGGGCAGCATTCCCATCGACGATCGTCTCACTATCGCGAACATGACAACCGAATGGGGTGCGCTTACGGGTCTATTCCCTATCGACTCTACCCTGCACGGCTGGCTTCGCGCAAGGGCCACTCTGGCAGCTATGGGAGAAGGACAGGCCAAGGACCACCATCAACAACAGTTTGTCCACGAACGTATTGATAAGCTATTCACTGCTACTGGTATCGTTGGTGAGAAGATGGGTCACATCTTCAAGCCTGCGTTGGCTGCGGACAAGGGAGCGGTATATGCCAAGGAGCTCTTCCTTGACCTGTCAACTCTGTCACCCTACGTCTCCGGTCCCAACTCCGTCAAGGTGGCCACCCCACTGCTCGAGCTCCAGAGCCAAAACATCTCCATCAATAAGGCTTACCTCGTGTCCTGCACCAACTCCCGCGCTTCCGATCTTGCTGCCGCTGCCAACGTCTTCAAGGATGCCGCCGTTCTGAATGGCGGCAAGATTCCCAAGATCCCTGACCATGTCAACTTCTACATTGCTGCCGCGTCAATTCCTGAACAAAAAGCTGCAGAAGAGGCTGGTGACTGGCAGGCGCTTTTGGAAGCTGGCGCGCAACCATTGCCTTCCGGTTGCGGCCCCTGCATCGGACTTGGTACCGGTCTTCTCGAACCTGGTGAGGTTGGTATCAGCGCCAGTAATCGCAACTTCAAGGGTCGTATGGGTTCGCCTGACGCCAAGGCTTACCTTGCTAGCCCTGAAGTAGTTGCTGCAAGTGCCCTGTCGGGCATAATTTCTGGCCCGGGATGGTACGAGGCTCCTGAAGGCTACCAAGGTGTTCGACGTGGAGAGGGTGATGGTGTTCCTGAAGAAGAACGCATGATGACAATCGAGGATATGCTCGAGAAGGCCATCAAGGACGCTGAGGCTGCCATCGATACGTTCGGCAACGCTGAGCCCGAGACACAATCTGTCAATCCGCCCGCGGCACCAGGATCGGAAGCCGAGACGCTGACCGAGATCCTCCCCGGCTTCCCTGAGAAGATTAGCGGTGAGATTGTCTTCTGCGATGCAGACAACATCAACACCGACGGTATCTACCCCGGTAAATACACATACCAAGACGACGTTACCCGCGAGAAGATGGCGGAAGTGTGCATGGAGAACTACGACCCCAGCTTTGGGCAGATTGCCAAGGCCGGCGACGTACTCGTATCCGGTTTCAACTTCGGTTGCGGTAGCAGCCGTGAGCAGGCCGCAACTGCTATCCTGGCCAAGGGCATCCCGCTAGTCGTCTCCGGTAGCTTTGGTAACATCTTCAGCCGAAACAGCATCAACAATGCTTTGATGGGTGTCGAGGTACCCAAGCTAGCCAACCGTCTCCGCGAGGTCTTCTCTTCCAAGGATGCGACATCCTCACAACAGGCTATTAAGGAGCCTTCCAATAACAGCGAGTCGCTTGATTCGCCACCTCCCGCTGCTGCTGCTCAGCCAAGTCAAGCCAAGCAACTAACCCGCCGCACTGGCTGGACCCTGGAATGGGATGTTCGCAGGAGTACCGTCTCTGTACAAGAAGGACCAAATGGCGCCAAGTGGAACGTCAAGGTCGGCGAGCTACCTCCCAACGTCCAAGAGATCATCGCTCTCGGCGGATTAGAAAACTGGGTGAAGAAGGAGATTGGCAGCCCTCTCTCTTGAGTATCAAAGGGCTCAATGATTAGCTTGTAACATTCATGTATACCCAATTGAAAACTTGCATAGACGGCGTTTGAGTATTTAGGTCCATTACATCAAGCAATACAGACTTCAATAGTACATGCTACCAGCACAAATCCCGCGCATCGACCTGGAAGGTCTTGACCACATACCTATCCTCCTCACTTCATATAAACCGGCATACCCTTCTCCCACCCCTTCACCCTACAACAATGCCAAGTATCTGTCTCACTGACACCCTGCCCCCCACTACTCTTCTGATCAATACTAGCATACACACTCCACCCCTCCTCCTCCAACAACTCGACCAACACAATCAACAACTCCCTCACCCGCATCGTCTCCTCCCCACTAGCCTGCCATGGATTGCCCCTGAGTTTGTACTCCCACACCCCTTGCTCTTTTAACCCAGACTCCAAGAAACAATCCGCACCTACACGAGCCGGGAAGGGCTCGTACAACGAAGCAGGCGCGTCGATGAAGCGAAGGCGGTTCTGGCGACTAAAGGCTACAACACACCATTCGTGATGCACAGGAATCGGGTTCTGAAACCGGAAGAGGAGGGTATCTTTGTCCATTGCGGATTTAGAGATGTCGGTGTTGAGTGTCAAGAGCCAGCCTGATGCATGCAGCGTTGCTAGTACACCGTTTATCAGACGCCGTGCTTCAACGCCTTCTTTGCCGTAGCCGCCCCATGGGTAGCCGTTTAGTTTAAACTCGTGGCTGTTTGCGAAGAGCTGCTCTTTACCAATACCTAGCGGCCGGATTAAGAGAATGGTGGCGCGACACTTGGAGATGATGGGCTCGGGGAAGCGCAGGAAGCGGAGGCGGTCTTCTTTGTGGAGCGATAGCGATGCGAAGCGTGTTTGTACGGGGTGGCTTAGTGCGGGTTGTGATGCTGATGAAGAAGGTGCTGTGTAGGCGGGTGGTGGGGGTACGAATGATGAAGTGTCTTTGGTGGAATCGGTAGAGTCGCCTTTGGAATGCCCGGATGGGGACTTTCCACGGAGTTTGTCGAACATCTTGGGTTCGCGGGTGATGGTGTTGCGAGGTGGGAGGTAATCGAGAGAGGACTAGCGGGGTAACTGCGCGCCTTACTTTCCATTGTTGGTGCCTATTGCGCCTTCTACATCTAGGATACGTGACATGTCTGCATGCTGACTATACTGTCTTCGCCCATGTTCGGCACGAACAGGTGTGCAGATTACAATAGAAGAAGACAATCGACTCGAAAGATCTAGCATCAATGTACGCTTCAGGGTATTCGGTTTCCCTCATGATCGAGCTGGCAGTGCGATCATGCTCCGATGAGTTGGTCTTCACCCGAAAGATAATGTAGTTTCCCTATCGGTACCCCGACATTTCGAATGATTCCGTAAGCCGTCACGTTGTGGAAGAAGCTATCAAATCTGTTAGCAACCCAGTCATGTATTCAAGAGACTCAAGACCACTTACAAGTTCGGTAGAACAAACTCTTGCAAGTAAGTCAAGCCGTTCAATTCGAAATGCCACATGTTTGGCACGTCGATCGTGACGGGCATGTCTACTTTCCCAGCGAACGCCTCGGGTTGCGCCTTCTCGAAGCATTCCAAAGCCTGCTCAATCTGTGTGTATAGATCTTGGAAAGAGGCCGCGTCGAACCCGAACGTGGGTACTGCCATGCCACCAAGACGTTCAAGCGCTTTCGTCGCAGTGGTAACTTGGAAGAAGATTTGAAGTGAGAGTGGCTGCGAAAAGATTCTTTAGCTATTGCTTTCGTCTTCTAAGGGGGAGGTGAGCAAGATACTTACATGCATATCCGGTGCAAGTCTGGCACTGAGGACTTTCGAGTGCGGATATCCGTTCTCATCGCACCACTGTTCACCCTTCTTCAAAACCACCAAATGGTTCTGCATTGCTTTCCGCAGCGGGGGTACGCATAGTTCGTAGAGAGGAACGGTCGACGGCATGTTGATTGTGTTGTAGATTTACCTAGGTACCCTTGAAGCCATGTGGGAGAGGGGGACTTAAGTGTACCCGCATCACCGATCACTTGAGGCGTAGGCCCGCTCGTAGAATGTCCCGCATCGACCCGATGCTAAGGCCCGAGAAGCCGTTTCGCATTCTCGGTATAATCCAATGATGCGGTGTCAGTCACCGTTGTAGGCTGCCACGTTTTCAACGCCTGCCAGCCCTGGCGTCCTGTTCCATGCTCCATGCTGATTCCCACGTGGTGTGGCTTGCCTTCGGATCGACGGATCGTTACAACATATTCACAGAGATCTAGATTCATGAAGCGCATGACGCTGATGATGGGAATTGCCTCTATTGTCGGCTACAGACATCCATACGCGGAGGCCTCCCAGACTTTTGATAGTATCGCCCGCACCTTCTCCCCGATCTCGTCGTTCGTTGAGCCAGAGTTAGCTCGCTTTTGCTCCGCTTGCACTATCAGCAGCTTCTTCTGGAGATGATCCAACCCCTGCTTTACGACTATGCGGCCCACCACCTTGGATTCCTCACTGTCCAACACGAACCGGCCCACTTGAAACTTGCTGTCGCCTAACTCGACGCAACTTTCACTGTTGCCTTTCTTGATTTGGTTGTCGGTTGTCGCGTATTTTGCTTGTGCCGCGACGTAAAGTGTGCAAAGAACGTCCAGCTCATGCAAAAGAGCCATGGCGCGCATTGGGTCTGAAGAACATGTGCTGCACTCCATCATTGCACTATACAGGTTTGATAGCTTCTGATCGAGCTCCAGAACCTTCTCTAGTGTATTGTAGTCTACAGCGGGATCTTGTAGTTCGATGCCGATTGGGTTCTTGGGGAAGCATTCAGTGTTTGTCGATGATCTCCAACACATGCACTGCCTAGTCTGGTCGCTCGACAGAGGGCCCTGTATATGAAGTTAGCAAAATTGAAGTAATACACTTGGTTATTGAACGCCGTACCCTGATGTCCATATTAACAATTACAACAAATATAAGGTCGTTTAGGAAGAGGACGATTGACTTGCAAGATGGTACATATGGAGACATTCACCAAACGTGATGCTATTATCATGTATATCTTTCTCTCCTTTCCCTCCGTGCCAATGCTCCGATGCTCCTCCAATCGGATCATCACACGACGAGCGCGCAAACAAGAAGCAATGACTATTGTTTGGTTTCATGCGTAAAAACAGCCCTGCAGTAACAGAGAACGGGGGGTTCATTGATGAAACAGACACTCTATCCCGAGCTCAGATCGGCCCAGTTGTCTGTGGATCTCACGTAGGAGCGATCAGAGGACCTATCACGCACAGCATACCGCATGTAGTAATGCGGGGTATTGAAGCCAATCTTCCGGGCTATCGAAAACAATGCAGTAGTTGTGCGTGCGGGTTCTGCGGGAGATGGGCCCAGACATCCCCAAGCAGATCACCCGGACACTTCTTGCCGAATTTACCGTGCGAGGCGGTTGAGAAACACTGAAGCCAAGGCTTACATTGGACACGTGACGCAGAGCAACGAGACTTCTTTTGCGAAATCTTCTCTTCACGAGTATAGTAAGATGAATAGAGTGCGCCTTTGACTCAGACTGCGGTCTGGTCCTGGTTCGGGCTGGTCGTTGAGATGGTACTTTGGTTCACGGTATGATTGCGATAGCTTTGATGACAAGTACAATGAAGGAATGGTAAGATCGATATAGCTAGCAAAAAGACCTCGTAGTTCTCCGTGGGTCTATCTATTCAGAATCTTTATTTCATACGGGATCAAGATAACAGAATCCTTTCGCAAGAGCAAGTTTGTGTTTGGCGACCGGGTGCCAGCCTACTGAACCACGACGTCATGCACACTAAGTTCCAGCGCCGATCTCGGTCGGACCCACAACCCAAGACACGGAGTTCCCCGCGCGCAACGAACGCGCCACATTGAGGCCTTAGGGGGTTCAGTACTGTAAACTGCTGCGGCTGTCGCCCAGCCCAACGAAAAGGGGCGCAACGATTTCTCCAGTCCATACCTAGGTAAGGTTCATTCACTTTGACCCTTTATTCATTCACCCACTTTGACCACAGCCTCGATCGCGACCGGATACTTCCAACGCTTCCAGGCACAGAGACAATGAGTACCTAAAAATACGCCAGTGTTTCGGCATCTACCCGCCATCGAGAGCAGACGCTAACAAGCTCCATGCGCGACATCGTAATTGAGATGGGCAAGGAAGCTGTGATCAAATCCCCGTCCGTACTGTTGGTAGGGCCAAGATATATGCGCTGAACGAAGTTTGTTGTTCTCATTACCAGGGAGTGCCAGCCTTACCCGTTCGTAAGTTCGATCCCGAGGCTGCCCCCGACTACCGTTTCACAACCACTACCCGCGACGATTGAACTTGCGACTTATAACGATCGAATTACGTGTTAGAGGACTGGCGTCTCATGCTGGACCTTGCGTGAAGGAAAGGTCGGCGTAAACCAGATTGCGCGTTGGCAACCTTAGAAGTGTGAGGCTTGTCAGCACCGGACCGACTTGACCCTCACACAATACCGTATGCAGAACCGGTTGGCTGACACTAGCGAAGCAACAGCGTGTCCCGACCTTCCGCCGTCATGAGTATCCTGGTCGACTTACTCCAACGTTCATACAAGCATTGCGGAGTGGCGCCTCAGCTTATGGCTGGGGCTCTTCGACGTCATCGAAATGCTTCTCTATCAAGCCACAAGGGTTGTCTCGGCGATGAGTATGAAGTACGAATACGCAATCACAGGATTAGGTACGCCGTACAGGTACACTAGCCCAACTCCCCCTTAGTCGACTGTCCGTCGGCGTGCGATGATCGACGGAAACTCCCAGAAGCGAGGCTGAAGTGTCACTGTGTCAGCCACTTCAACGCGCACAGTCTATGTCTGTGCCCTTGATCTGCATAACAGATGAGGACCTGGCCCCGTCAGGCCTCAAGACAGGTCTGCTCCAACGGCGCTGCTTGTCCAGACAGGGTAGCAGAGACCTGACATGCGCTGGCTTTTACTTGCACGGCGTGCTATCGCGGAGACGGGACGTCAACATTGCATCACAGTTATTACCAGAAGATTCTTGGTGGCCGGACACAAATGCCGCTGTGAACGTTTGAAGACAGCTGCTCCGCCGTTCTAAGGCACCCACAGTCATAGCATGCGCACCGAATGCGAAAACTCAATTTCTGGGTTGTCGGTTCTCCTACGATGGTACGAAGTTTGTTCATACTTCTGGACGACCATGGATCCCCAGGAGTGTACAATTACGATACCGGTTAATAGTAGTCCCCTGCCAATTTATCAAGCAAGTGAATGTCTACATCTGTATCAGATAGCATCACATAAGCTCGTGATTATCGCACTGTCAACATCACCACACTCTCGTTCCAAGTTTTTCACGTTCATCTGTTCAAGGTCAACTTTCAGCTTCTACACAACCGACGTATCTCTATTCTCTTCGCGAAGCTACCATCATGGATCCAGCGCGTCCGGGAACCCGCCGGCTGCGCAACTCTTGCGATATCTGCACTCTATCGAAGCTCAAATGCAGTCGCGAAAAGCCAGTCTGCCAACGTTGCGTAGACCGTGGCTGCCAACAAGACTGCAATTACAGCGTCGCACGCCGCCCGGGAAGGCGGCGTCAAACATCTATAGTCTCAGATGACGCCGGGTCGTATGGTCAGGATGCCAGTGCCAATGGGTTACGGAAAAGGCGTGGAACAGCACCGCTGACACCTTCTTCATCTTCCATGGACTCGCTCTTTTCGACAAAGAAGCGTCACGATTCGACACGGAACACCCCCCAGCAGATCTCGAGAGAAGCAAGCGACGGAGGGGACGGGCGTTTGCTTATGAAGTCTCCAGGGATGGACTTGATGGAGTCGTTCACCAACATACCCATGGAACTATCACACAGTGGCGACGGAGTTGACTTTGCACCTATGGACAGTCTTTCGCTATGGGAGTGGGGTGAGAGTGGAATCGACATCAATGCAACGAATAGCCATCACCCAGGCGCCATGTCGCAGATGTGGGACATGTCGTCAGGTCAGACCATGCTCAGTGGCATGGCCTTCGAACTCAGTAACGATATCGGGGGACCAGGACAGGAGCCATCACCACCACTGAGCCATACGAGCCAGCAAAACTTTTTCCAGGATAACCAAACTTCTCTTATACCCCCAGCAGACTTCAGCAGAGATTCGAATTCCGCTTCTCCAGCTGCTTCAAATTTCATCTTCGACCTGTCCAAGGATGTGGATTGCAAATGCTCCACTCAAATCAGCCAGCTCATCTATTCTGTCAGTCTGCGGCGTGCGACAGCAGTTCCACTAGACGTTGTTTTCGCTGTGGAACAACAGCTCAGCCGGACCAAAGAAACAATCACCGCATGCGCGAACTGCTCTCTCGGCTCACCATACATGAGCATGATGCTTTGCACTGCCATGAGCTGGGTGATTGAGCATCTAGAAACTTACATGCGCGAGGCAACAGTCAACACGCCCAACGGCCAAATGACGTACCTGACAATCAGCGGCTTGACGCTGAGTAAAGACATGTCTCAGTCGTGTTCTGAGGCATTGGTCAAACTCCGCCTCAGACGAGTTGTGCAAACAGCACGAGAGTTGTCAATGTTCAACATGGAGACGAAGAGCACGCTTTTGGGAGGACTGCGGTCGGCGGCGGCCGAGACTGGAGCGGCAGCGCAACAGATGTTTGGTATGTTGGAAATGAGAGGTGCCTTTTAGACAAAGAAAAAGCTTGCGATTCAAGAGATGCCAGCACCACGTCTAGGAGAAGATAGATATGAGGAGTTCGATGGTAGCGCTGGTAGCACCTCGTGATATTTAGAGCAGATACTTCCAAATACCTTAACATCAAAGCTTTTATTATATTTGCATTACGGACTCTGATTGGCCTCCGAGCATGTGGTACTCGGTACATTTGCCTGACATTAACGCTTCGGTGATATAGATGCAATGTCCAGCTGACAGGTCAGCTTAGGCGCAAATGTGATAGACAGTAGACTGATGTAGGCGATATTCATCGCCTCGCAAGCGGCCGCCGGCTCAGGAACTGTTCGCTTTCGCATGATGTAAATCAAGACCCTTCCAAGTTTGGTTTCATATGGGAAAGAGTCTTCACTGCCCTTCAAGAGAGGTGCATTCGCGTAGAATCTCGGCACTTTGACTGATGTCTGTAGATATTGCTATACACCGAACCCTATAACCTGGGGAAATGCTCCGGGGTAATTGACATGCTTCACTGTCTATCACTTGAGCAGAGTCCACACGCACGTGGCTTTGACCCGAATCGCATACCTTGCCATCTTTTGTATCTTTCGCTGAAGAAAACAAGAGCTTGCAGGAATAACCAAACGGAATCAATCCTAGAGCTTACAAGCCATTCCAGCGCAACCACTCAAGGTATGCCAAATTACTTTCACTGCTGCCACGAATAGGGAGAAGGCTGATCAGATCTAACAGATGCAGCTTCGATATGGGCTATCCAATGTCTCTCTCAGCAAACAGTCAATATACGCCATTGTCGTAGCCTTCGCCGCCCTCTGGGTCGTGCAGAGCTTCATCCGAGCATGGTGGCGCCTCCGGCACATACCCAGCGCGCACTTCACCGCGCCATTCTCCTACTTCTGGATTGGACGCACCACATACAGTGGCCGTCAATACTGGATACTCCGCGACCTACACACCAAACACGGTCCTCTCGTGCGCGTCGGGCCCAACGAAGTCGTTACCGATGACCCCAACATCCTGCGCACCATCTCTGCAGCGCGCAACCATTACCCTCGCAGCGATTGGTACGAAGCTGGCCGATTCAACCCATATCATGGTAACTTGTTCACGACTACCGACCCGGCAGAGCATAAGAAGGCGAAAATGAGGTCCATGGCCGCATACAACGGGCGCGAAACTCAAGGTCTCGAGGGTTTGATCGACGACCAGGTCAAGACGCTTATCAGCGTTGTCCGAAACCGCTATGTGGTGTCTTCGCCAGGAAAGGGCCAGCCTCTGCTGGATCTAGCGGCCATCACGAAATACTTCACCATGGACGTCATCACACGGATGGGTTTCGGCAAAGCGGTTGGCTACCTCGAGGACGAAAAAGACCACTACGAATTCTTGGGCACAGTAGACGAGCTTTGGCCGAGGATGTCGACGGTGGCTGACATACGTTGGATCCGCAAGATTGCATTCTCGCCTTTCGTGCTCAGATTGGTCGGACCGAAGAGCAGCGACAAAAAGGGCTTCGGGGCACTGATGGGGTAAGTACCTGGCTGAAGTTGATTCAACTTACAGATTTCTGTTCTGGGCAACCTCACTGACTTTCGACCAGTTTCGCAGCTGATCAGGTCAGCCGTCGCTTTGCTGCACCCGATGGTGGTAAAAATCACAAGGACTTTCTGGCGAGTTTGATGGCTCGCGGCTTCACAGAGGAAGAGTGCCAATCCGAGGGCCTTTTTCTCCTACTCGCTGGAAGTGAGAGCACCGCTAACGCCATGCGCTCCATTCTCATACACACCATAAGCTCGCCCGCCGTGTATAATCGACTCTCTGCTGAGATCCGGGACGCGGTACGGACGGAGAAGGTGTCCTTCCCCATTACCTTGGAGCAGGGAAAGAAGTTGCCGTATCTGCAGGTATGTCTCATTGAGATCCCGCCCAAACGTGTTGATCTTGCCCGCTGACATATATCTCTTTTTTCCAGGCGGTCATCTACGAAGGCCTACGCATGCGCCCGGCCATCCTCGGCCTCTTCCCAAAACAAGTACCCGCAGGCGAATATCCAATCTTCCACGGAAAGATGCTTCCCCCAGGGACCGATGTATGCATGAACATGTCAGCCCTGCTGCAGTCAACAGATCTGTTCGGCGCCGACGCGGCCGTGTTCCGACCAGAACGCTTCATGGAGGTAGGCGACGAGAGACGCAGGCAGATGGAGCAGGACGTTGACATGTCGTTTGGCTACGGAGGCTGGGTATGCGCGGGCAAGAACATCGCTATGATGGACATGGTGAAGGTGGTCTTCGAGGTACGTTCGCAACGTGCGCGATGGTGTTGGTGTGACCGTCGCTAATCCTGGCAGATGCTTCGCGTGTTCGACTTGCAGCTTGTGCGTCCATTTGAGCCGTGCGATACGATCAGCTATGGCGTGTTCCTTGACAAGGGGTTGATGGTGAAGGTGTCGGAGAAGAAGTGACATGGAGACGTTCTGTGTTGACCGCTGGGGCAGGCGTGGCAGGCTCGGGGGCAGGCGGCTCGGAGGGCTGATTGGAGGATCTGGCGGGGCCATCACCCAATGAGGCAGTTCAGCCGACGGGCCTCATCTCAATGGAGTTTGCTTCTGCGAGAATATGGCTATAAGGCACCACTAAAAACCTGTCTTTGAACGATTTCCTGCTGCTGCACTATACCAATGCATGCAAAATCTTTAGGCTATCCGTCATCCTTTCTTGATAATTCCTTCACTCTCTCCAGCGATGCAAATATGACTAACGTTTCCCTTACGTCTTCTGTCACGAATGAACATGTTCACAACGCACTTTCCGTTATTGCCTTTCTTGAGATGCGCTTCGTCGTTTGCACATGTGAAGATAATGTCAGTGGAGTGCAAACATCGTCGTTTACCCTTTTGATCGAAGCACTCAAGCATGTACCGGATGCACGTCGCGTGGGCCTACGGATTAGTGACGCATGCTGTTGCGAAGAGTGCAAGTAACATATGGTCAGCATAGAACTGTCCTGTGAAATTTCTGTACGATTATACGGTTGCGCGTAGCGACTCGAACGCACTTCAACGATCGAACAGCGACTGGGCGGCATGGTGGACACTTTAGAAGCATGTCACAGGAGCATGGAGTCCAACGCTGTTAATTACTGCATTTATTCGACTATCTAATTTCTTCCTTATCATCCTCCCTTGAGTACGATACAAGATGACTACCACGCTTGAGTGCGTTTCAACTTCAACGGCAAACCATCCTTGGGCTTGATAGCTGTAATACCAGCAGGTTGTGGCACATAGGTTTTATCTGCCATCTCAAACTCATAGCTACCCACAAAGGCGGAGATGAAAGCCCGTAACTCGACCTTTGCATAGCCCGCTCCAATGCACTTACGCGGTCCATGCAAGAAGGTCATGAAAGCGTAGTTGGTGTGTGCATTGCCATGATTGTTCGCTCGGCCGCTGTCTTCATCGATCCACCGACCCGGTTCAAAAGTATCGGCAGTCTCTCCGTAGAAAGACGCAAAGCGATTCATAGCCGCGGGAACAATCCACAGACGTGTTCCGGCTGGGATGCGGGTACCGACAACGGTAGTGTCTTCTACAGCGACGCGTGATGTGATCGGCGAGGTGGGCATGAGACGTAGCGTTTCGTTGACCACGGCGTTTAGGACGGGAAGGGTATCGAGAGTTGCAAAGTCGCTGAACCTTTCTGCATCGTTGTCGAAAAAGCGGTAGGGAATGTATTCGCGAATTTCGGCACGGAGCCGATCTTGCCAGGTGGGGTTGATGGCAAGTAGCCACAGAGCCCAGGTAAAAGTTGCTGAGGTAGGCTCGTATCTACTTGACTGTTAGCAGCAGTTTCTATCATCCATCGGTGCACGTTGACGACATACCCTGCTCCGATGATTGTCAGAAGCTGACCAACCAATTCATTGTCCGTTAGCGTTTCACTCTGTATGAGCTGCAATAAGAGGGCTTTTTGGCCGGTGCCTTCGGCAACTTCTTTCTTCCTCTCTTCGACAAAGGCAAAGCAAAGCTGTCGCAGCTTATTGCGAGCGTCATCAAGGTCCCGGTTAAATTTCCGTGGGAGGAGCTGTAGCACCCAGGCCGGCAAAAAAGCGTTGGCTATGAACAAGTGACGAACGCTTTCTTTGCTGCCAGTCAACAGCTCATATAACTCCGTGAGCTCATTCGGTTGACGTAGTGTGTCGAAATCCTTGCCCAATGCAGCGAGACCAATAGCATCAAGAGTACCTTTATTACCCCAGGGTAGAATATCCACCACGGTGTGCTTTGCGTCAGCTGAGGCGGTAGACCGTTCCATCGTTTCCACCATATCAATGGCCTTTGACCAGAAAACGGGGCAAAGATCTTGAACGGTTCGATGATTGAATGCCGGCTGAATGCGTTTACGAAGATATTTGTGCTCATCGCCTTCCAAGATGAGGAGAGACGGCCCCAGGATTCGGCTCATCAGTCGTCGAGACACCGCTGGCTTGGTGAATGAGTACGCGCGACGAACCAGCACCTCAGAGAGGGCCTCGTTGCTGACTACCAGGATATGATTGACGTTCATGAATCCGCGGAAGTGGATCAGACCCTGGTTCGGTACCGAGTTTGCCATATCCAAATAGGCTTGTCCACGGGGGTTGGTGAATTGAAGGAGCCCATGGCCTAAAAAAGGTAGTCCGCCCTGTAGCAACACTGTCAGTCATGCACCAAACATTTCATGGTAATATCTTACTTTTGCTGTGGGAAGATGTCGAAACGGGTTGAAAAGACGGGGGTGGATTTCGACCTTGTACACCAGGTAGATCACATAAACCACAGCCAGCGTCGCACAGAGCGCTGGTAAGGACAATGGAATCGAGGCAAATCGAGAGGAGATCATTTCTGTATACATGGCGAAGGTATGAAATGCTGTAGGAACCGTTACACGAAATGTGGGATATGTACACAGATTACGCCTGCGATCCTGATTGCGAATGACATCTGTTTTGCT